CTGTGTCTCTCCATCTGTCCTCCCCTCCCATGCTCATGCTCTGTTTCTCTGTCTCTCAATAATAAATAAACGTTAAAAAAAAAAGAAAGAAAGAAAGAAAGAAAGAAAATGAAGGAGACAAGGAGAGGTAGTAATGCAGATGAGTGAAATCGGGGGCCGAAAGTTAAGAGATGTCCTGCCTGCTAGCCTGTGTTCTCTAAGATAGGCTGGATGGTTTGCTGAGAGGCAGTAGAAGAGAAAGGCTTTAGGAGAGCAGTGAAGGTTTGAAATAACTGCTGTGAAGAATGAGTGGGAGCCAACTAGAAACCCATGGGAGTTTGGGTGTAGGCAGGTGCTGTGGGCCCAGCTGATGTAGTTCTGTACTGGCACTAGGCCACAATATCAGTACTTGCAGGAGTATTCTGCAGCTGGCAGGTGAGCACAGAGCACAGGGTTGTTAGGGTTTTGCTTTATGGGTGACCACAAGTTTTGATGAAGACCAGTAGAAAAGCGAGTAGATTTGGATACGTTCATTTGGAACTTTTAGTGAGGCTGACAAGAGTCTCTGGGGAGAAGGAGAAAAGACTACTGGGAAGGTAGAAAGTCCTAGTTTGGGAAGAAAAGAATTGTGCTTAAGACAGAGGTAGCAGGGTTTTTTGATCATTCCAAGGCTCAAAGACTGGACAAAGCCCTAAGGTGTGGGTGGCTGAAGGGGAAAAAAGGAGAAGGTACTGGTATGTAGGAACTGCAGGAACTGGATGAGTGAGTGGTGGAGGTGGAAGGAACTAACTAGACTGTGTCAGTACATGGGGCCAAGAGGAAGACTGGGTGAGGATTGCCATTTCTGAGGGAGTAAGTCATGGTGATCAGAAGTGATCAGTGAAAGGGTGAGGGATGTGTGGGTTCGTGGTTCAGGCCTAGCAGCCTGAGATGGGAACAGGCCACTGCTCCTCATGGGATCTGGAGGCACTTTGGGGCTGATGCAGTGTCTGTAATTTCACCATACTGGCAGATTTTAGTACCGTCTGGCCCTTTACAGAAAAATTTGCCAGTTCCTGGTTTAGGTAAAGAAATTAAACAAAATCATGAAATTATTATGAAACAACGTAGTGACAGCTTGAACTTCTCCATGCGTAAGAATTTTGTGTGTATTTGGAAAATATTTGGCAACTTAGTAAAAGCTGGATTTGAGTTGTAGAGTTTCCTTAGTTGGGAATGAGTGCCAGCCATGAGAAAATGATCTGGAGAAATGTTAGCCATGGAAGTGAGGCTAGGAGAGCTAATTCCATAACCACTTAGTTGCAGTGGTTGAAGGAGAAAAGAAGCAGACCTCCAAAGGCCTTGATCAACTCTTTTAGGAAGCAGTTTATTACCACATTTAGGCAGTCTTGAAAGTACTCATGAACATTTCTTCTCTTGAGAATTTATCATATAGAAATAATCGATAGAAGGAAAAAAGTAACGTGCCCAGGAGTATTGATTGTAACAGTATATGCTAACAGGACATTTGGAACAGCCTAAGTGTCCAGAAGTAGGGAGCTTGTTAAGTAAATTATGGTACATTGAATTGATGAAACAGGATAGAGCCATTAAACAAATAATTATAAAGATTGGAAAAGAATGTAGAGAATTGACCTGGAGCTGTAGAAGTTACACATACTATGTTGAACTATGTGAAGTTGATAATGTATGGACAAAAATGACTGCAGAATCAATGGGGGAAATAAAAATGGTTTATTATGTTAGTGGGATTTGATTTTTTTTCTTCCTGGTATCCGGTATTGTTAAAATGCTCCCATAATAAATACATTTGCAAGGACTAACAGGATGGACTGCACCCATGTCACTCTAGGATGAATCACCTAGCAGCTCCAGCAGCTTTTATGTCACACAGCCATGTGGCTAGTGAGTGCACAACTGCAGTCTACTCAAGTATTCATTAAATTTTAAGGTATTTTCCTTAAAAAATAAATATAAATATAAAAAATATTTTTCCTTATGGAATTTTATGAAAAATTTCACACATGCACAAAAATAGAACACCTAAATAAAATACCCATAATCAACTATGATGCCCCTGTCACACATAATGAAATTAGTAATAATTCTTTGGTATCACCTAATAACTAGTTTATAATCAAATTTTCACAGTTGTGGCTCTAGCTGTGTTGGCCATCCTTTTAGCTGACTTCACAGTTAAATCAGGGCGACTAACCATCCCAGGTTTCCCAGGACGCTGGGCTCTCAGTACTAAAACTGGGCAAACTGAAATATTTGGTCATCCTACACTAAGCAGCAGACTATGAGGTTAGTAGGTTGGTTACATGTATTTCTTCCTCACTATCCAAGTGTCTTCTCCTAGAACTTCAGATTCAGTCAGAAGGTAAATTGTTTATTACTTGGTCTGGGAGCCTGTGCTGTGAGAATATCACAATGAAGAAGTATAAGAGTTTCTCTCTTTAGTGAGCTCTCTGTCCAACCAAAGGATCAAAACCATTAGAAATAAAATCAAAGATTAAGTGGTATGATCCAAAGAGAGGACTTAGAGAAAGTCAGGGTGAGGTCAGATTAATTGGAGACTCAAGATCAAATTGAGCCTTGAAGATTGGTTAGAATTTATAAACTAAGCAAATTCATAACGTAAGTAGGACTTTGTGTCTGCTCAGTAGAACACATGTTGGGGATAAAAAGTTGTATCTAAAATGCTGTTTGGATCTCTTCCTAGGGGTCTGTCCTCCAGCCTCAGCAGATGAGACTTTTGAGCATCATCTTCAGCGACTAAGAAAACTCATTAAAAAACGCTCTGAATTATACGAAGCTGAAGAGAGAGCCCTCAGAGTTATGTTGGAAGGAGAACAAGAAGAAGAGAGGAAAAGAGAATTTGAAAAGAAACAGAGGAAAGAAAAAGAGAAAATTTTACTTCAGAAGCGTGAAATTGAGTCCAAGTTATTTGGGGATCCGCGTAAGTTCTTTTGTAACCAGTGGAGAAAAGGAAGATGCTAGATTGGCAGCTCTTTCCCTAATGGATGATCTCAACCTAAACTAAGGTGGTAGGCAGCAAATGAAACCTTTGAGACTTAAAATTCTGAACTGTGTACTGGAAATCATGGATAAAGATGAAACATATGATCGCATTGTTGTACTGTCATAGTCATAGGTTCATTCAGCTTGCCTCTAGGTATGAGACATGATGATGTGGTAATGTGCCTTTTCTTTTTCAGATGAGTTCCCACTTGCACACCTCCTGCAACCCTTCCGACAGTATTACCTCCAAGCTGAGCACTCCCTGCCAGCACTCATCCAGATAAGGTCAGAGGGGCACTCTTCATGTCGCCTTCCCCTTAGATAGCAAGAAGCACTTACAGTGTTTATTTTGTTGAGGTGTATTGCTTTTTCTTTTTTTAGGTTCCGTATGGGTTTATATGCCACATAAATCTTGTTTAGTCCTCAGTCCTTGAGAAATAAATGACTCTTTTAACAGGTGAAGAAACTGAAACTCAGGTGTGACTTGCCCTTTGTATTATCTCATGCTGTAGTTGTTACATTGACTTAAAGCATCGGCTTCCTTTTCCTAATTCTCTTCTGCTGCTAAATAGACCAAGGGAGAGAAACACTCCCTATCTACTTGCCTGTGGAGACTGATTAAGTCCCAAACTGACTTGTGAGTTCTTACAGGTTGAAGCCAAGAGAGCTAGGAACAGGGGGTCTCATCTTAACCTGCAGTTATTAATGAGCTGGGTAGAGTTTTCAACTCTTCTGGGTCTCACTTTCCTCACCTATAAAATGAAAATGGTAGACTGGAATGTGGCCTTCAAACTTTAGCAGTAGTGCTCTTCCCAAAGGTAGTCTTTTGAGAAATCCATTTGTAAAACAGTTTGAATGAATGGGTTCCGTAGGTGTAGACAGTTTAAATCTGTTATTGACTGGAAGCACTTTGTTGTTTCTAGATTCCCCAGAGCATCTGCTTGGGGCCTAGTGGTCCTCAAAGCCTGGTTTGACAATCACTGAACTAAGTGATCTATCAGGTTCCTTCCAAAGCTCTAATGATGGTTATTAGCATACCAAGTTTGTGTTCTGGGAAAAGTATATTTCTGGTTAATATATAAGTTTTAGCTTTTATTTATTTATTGAGAGCAGGGGAGGGGCAGACTGGGGTTGGGGGGGGGCGGGGGGAGAGGTGTGCGGGGAGAGAGAATCCCTAGCAGGCTCTGCACTGTCAGTGCAGAGACAGACGTGGAGCTCTATCCCACAGACTGTGAGATCATGACCTGAGCTGATATCAAGAGTCAGACGCTTAACTGACTGAGCCACCTAGGCACCCCCAAGTTGTAGCTTTTAAATATAAGTACAGTTGATTCTCATTATTCACGGTAGTCATGTTCTATAAAAGCTGCAGTGTTGAATTAGGGAATGCCAAATTCTGTTCCTAAAGGAAATACAGGGTTTGGTTCCTGTGAGCCTCGGACCACAACATTTTCATGAACCAATCAATACATAACATTGTTTTATGTGTATTTCTTTTAAAAAACACTTTGTTTAATATATATTGTCGATTCATTAACACTGAACTCATAGTTAACAGCATTATAACTCCTGCCTCAACATAGCTTTTCTAATATACATGTACTCTCTGTAAGGCATATTCCAGCCTTCTCATTCTAGCTAGTACTGCAACAGTATACTTAGGGGCCATCTTAAATAGCAAAATAACCAATAAAAGCACAAATATGTGAAAAATGCAGTACTAAATACACTGCAAAAAGGACACTTTACAATATGAGGCTGAAAACAGTGTCACCTTATTTGACTTCAGCTGGGAATGTACCTGTCAGTGACTTAGATTTTTCATGGCTTTGCATGTTGGCAAGTGACCATGCAAGCACCACAAGTAACGATTATGAAGTTACACATAAATTTTAGTGAATAGGCAAATTTGCGATTATGGAACCTGCAAATAATGAGGATCAACTGTATATTTATTATTGGGTTACCCCTAAGATCATAAGTTGTTTGCAGTTTTTTCCCCCTTTATGTGTACATTTAAGAAATACTGTCCTTAGCATAATGCCTAGAAATCAAATTCTTGAGTGGACTGGTACATCAGTCATTTGAAAGCTAAGTCCTGAAATAGAGTATTTAGTTGCTGAACATCTTGCTTGGAATAAAACAAATAAACAGTTGTTCTCCAATGTTCTTATTAAGGCATGATTGGGATCAGTACCTGGTGCCATCTGATCATCCCAAAGGCAACTCCGTTCCCCAAGGATGGGTCCTTCCCCCGCTCCCCAGCAACGACATCTGGGCAACAGCCATTAAGCTGCATTAGTAAAGATGCTCCAGAAGTGTGGTCCGGCCAAGGCTCTTTCCAGCTCTAAATACTAGTGATGCCACCATCTTCTCGTGCTATAGACTAAACCACAACCTCTAAATTCCATGTGGCATTGTTCCACCCAGAAGTTACGTTTTCCTTGAGTGCTCTGTCCTGGCCAGAGATGCCTCTTGAATCAGGAGATTAATATGTTTCTTCAGGAAAGGACCTAGGTGAACTGGGGTTATTACCACAGAAAGTGACCTTGGTTCACCGAATTTGCCTCTGTTTTGAAGGGGCTTGGTTCAGAGTGACTTGTTAATTTACTCTTTAACTTCTTGTGTGGTGATGGGTAAGTACACTGCATACACTCAACACAAATGTGCATTGGGTAGACTTAGCCCTTCCCCCAGTACTGAGTGTGAAGGCAAGCTTTGATGTAAAACCTCTTTACCCTCCTTACCCAAAGAACCCTCTCACTTCTAGGAGGAAAGGTCAGAAATGCTTTATCTATGGTTTTATGAATCCCACTTTTGGTGCAGCTTGAGAGGCTACAGACTGGGCTGCCAGAAAAGCTCATGGCCTAGTCTGGTAGTCATGTGGAGAACTTGGAAAACCTGTATCCATATTGGATCGTGTTTTAATGGATAATGGCTGCATCTTCCCATGTTAGAAGGATCCTAACAAAAACACGTGTTATTTAAGTTCCTGAAGATCTAGTTGTTCAGAATCCCCAATGATAGAAATTTATCTTAACCTTCCTCAGTCACATTGTAGGGGCCGGTATAGCTGTGGAATTTTCTTAGGAACTCAAACTTTCAAAAACACCCATGTAGTTAAAGCTGGGAGGAAAGCAGATAAAAATAATAAAATTTATTTTTTTATATTCATTAATAAATGCTGTTGTGCCTGGGAATGATCAATCATAACATGTCAGGGTTTTTGTTTTGTTTTGTTTTGCTCTTTGTCATTTATTGTGTTATTTATATTTCCGAAAAGCTAAATAAATATCATTTTTATTTTTTAGTTTGAGCCTTTGCCCCCAAATTTGTTGCCTACCAAATCACTACACACACTTTAACATGAATGAAACACATTTTCACTCCAAAATGCAAACTTGTCAAATAGACATTTGCTAGGAGAAGGTGAATCTCCAGCACCAAACTTTGTGGAATCCAACTCTGGATAAGCAGGAAAGGACAACAACCTTGGAAATGATTGCATGTAGTTGGAAGTTCTGGGGTGCAAGATGCTAACACCTTTGTTATTTTTCTGTTTAAGCTGCATTGTTAAATTTATATATTATGCGCTTCAGAGTTAACAGATAGGATATGAAGGCCAGCGCTCCAAAGTGTGTGTCTAAGCTCATATACCTTAAAATCTGTTGTGATTAGCCTCACATAACCCCCATAGGCCTGTGTGCCCTTTTATAAATCCCCACCATTTGCTGTCTGATGAGATGTAGGAAGAGTAGAAATAAAAGATAAATTGTATGATGTGTTCAGTGTGCAGGCAGCCTTGTCACTAAGACATCTGCATTGATGGGGGCATGAGTGTGAAGCAGGGATTCAGGAAAATAGGCAGCAGAACCCAAGAGGAAGGGATTTAACCTCAGGTGGAAAAAAGCCTTCCCTCTTTCATTCAGCTTCTGCAAAGTTTTAATAAAGTAAACATTATTTTTATTGTTTGGCTTTGTAAGTTTTTCCTCGTTTATCACCTTGCATGGTGGTGGTGGCAACAGCCACTGGTACTTGATGGGTTTAGAAAGACATAGAGTAGTGCCTGATGAATTGTACTTCTGAGAATATGGACAGTGTCATTGTAATCTTTTCCTCCCAAAAATCTTTTATTGTGGAAATTTTCAAGCATCCGAAAGTAAAGAGAATAGTATAATTTTTTCCGTATATCCATCACCTGGCTTCAGATAATTGTCAACTTACGGCAAATCTTGTTTCATCTGCAACCCACTACTCTATAGACTATTTTGAAGCAAATCTCAGACATCATATTAATTAAGTATTTCAGTATGTAGGGCTCCACTCTGGGCATAGAGTCTTCTTAAAAATTTTCAGTATGTGGCTCTAAAAGATATTTTAAAAATGTAACCATAGTGCCATTATTGCACTGAAAGAAATGAATGACTTCTTGATATCATCAAATTCCCAGTGTCCAGATTTCCTTATCTCATAAATGTGTGTTTTACACTTGGCTCAAATTAAGATCTAGATGCAGTCTATACCCTGTTGTTGGTTGATATGTTTCTTAAATTTCTGATAATCCATAGGTCTTTCTTGCTTCCTCCTGTGTACTCTTGTACTCTCTCTCCCTTGAGATTTATTACTTGAAGAAATTTTTTTCCTGAAGTTTCCAGTCTGAATTTTGCTTATTGCATCCTTGTGATAGCATGTTCCTCTGTTTCCATATCTCCTATAATTTAGTGGTTAGAGCTGCATTGCCCAGTATGGTAGATATGTATCGCTATTGGGCACTTGAAAGAGAGTTTGAAATGGAGTTTGAATTGAGTTGAATAATTACACCTATGGACCACGTTTCTATTGGACAGCACTGATTAAGAGTGCACACATTTTTTGACCACCTACAGATTGGAGTTTTCTGAAGAATATATTATACACCTGGTGTGTACTCCATTCAGGAGGACTAATGTCTAGTTGTCTATTTTTGTGATCTTAGCAGCCACTGGTAGTCAAGACCTAAAGTCATTCCTTTGGAGTTGCAAAATAGTGATAGTTTAATTCTGCCTTTCTTTCTTTAGTTATTAGCTGGAATACTTCTAAAAGGGGAAACATCCCCTCATCAACCATTTGGTTACTGCAGGGTACAATTGGTACAGGAAAGGCAAATACATATTTTTTTTATTTACTAGTTTTCAAATTAATGAGCTGGTTCCCTAGAATCCTCCAAAGGTAACAAGTGAGTTTTATTTTGAAGTGTCATTATGAACTCAGATCTAACCATAATTGTCTTTCAACCCATTGTTATTATTTATCAATTGTCTCATCTTTGGCCACTGGGAGCCTTTTTTTTTTCAAATTTTTTTTTTTTAATGTTTGTTTATTTTTGAGACAGAGACAGAGCATGAACGAGGGAGGGTCAGAGAGAGAGGGAGACACAGAATCTGAAGCAGGCTCCAGGCTCTGAGCTGTCAGCACAGAGCCTGACGCGGGGCTCGAACTCACGGACTGTGAGATCATGACCCGAGCCGAAAGCGGCTGCCTAACTGACTGAGCCACCCAGGTGACCCTGCTGGGAGCCTTTTTAACTCAGTTTCTGAATTCCCTTTCAATTCCAGTGTTCCATTCCAAATTTGTTTTACATATTGCCTATTCCAAACCTGGAAACAGTCATTTATCTTATGATAAATTAGTGGAAAAGGTATTTATAGGCCATAATCTGCATGATAGGGGTGGTCATTGTTATTGCTGCTTCTTGTTTGTTGGTTTTTATGCTTTTCAGTCAGAACTAGGAATTACAGTTCCCTTGAGCCATCAGCCTTTTTCTAAATCATGCCTTTTTTATACCTGTATTCTTTTTTTTTAATGTTTATTTAATTTTGAGAGAAAGAGAGAAAGAATCCTAAGCAGGCTCCAAGCTGCCAGTGTAGAGCCTGATGCAGGGCTCGAACCCACGAACCATGAGGTAATGACCTAGGCTGAAACCAAGAGTCGACGCTTAACCCACTGAGCCACCCAGGCACCCCTGTACCTATGTTCTTTTTATATTGAACATAAATTAATGAAAATAGAGAAATAAACTCATTCAAAGATGAACCAGAAATGTGTTGATTCATCATGTCCTGTATATACAAGAATATTGTTTATCTTATTTCCCAAAAGAGGAGACCCTGGGTTGGGAGATACTCTTAACAAAAAGCATTTATTTTAAGAAATTAGGTAAATACAAGAAAGATTAAAAAATGAAATAGATTAGTTGTATGTTAAATACTAAGTGTTCTTAGTGGCTGAGTTTATGACGTCAACGAATTTGCTACAAGCCAATGAACTTAATCACTCTAAACCCATTCATGTTCCTGTGTCCATGTGACTTGGGCAAGAGTGTATCAAGAAGCTTAGACAGCATTATACCATCTGCTGTAGCAATTCACTTCTACATATTTTGTCCACAGGGGAGCTATCCTGGGAATCACAAGGTAAGTACAAAGTATGTCTTGTTCCATTCAAATAATATAGAATATATAGAAGGAATGTGAGTGCTGTGAAGTATTAGCAGTGATTATTTTAGGGACTAGTGACTACATGAGGCATTTCCAACTAAATCTGTTTTTTTTTTCTTTTAATGCTATAACCAATAAACTATTCCTGTATAATTGTTAACTTTTTTTTTTAAAAAGTGTGAGTAATTACTACACGCAACGTGGGGCTCAAACTCATGACCCCAAGATCAAGAGTCATGTGCTCTTCCGACGAGTCAGGTGCCCCTGTTAACTTTTGGGTGTACCCATACAGTAGTTCCTGACTTAGCACGTCTGGCTATCTATGAAGATTTTGTTTCCAATGCAGGTTCTGTTTGCCTTTTGGAATAAACTGAGTTTCTCACAGTCTCTGGAGCAAGGATCGAAGTCTTTGAGGCAGTTGGTGCTAGAGCACATAACTATACAGAGCAGTAGGCACCTCTCAACTTATTTAGCTCATGCTTGCCAGAATATGGATTCTAGGACTTGAACTGTGTTCTTAGAAAATGGTTTTTACCATTTGCCAGGAATGATACTAAGTGCTAGAGATGTGAAAGGGAGCAAAAAGACAGGATTCTTGCCCTCCTGGAATTAGATCTAGAGTAGAAAAGCTTAAGAATACAGATAATTAGTTGTGATATGTGCTACAAAGAAAAAGTGGTTAGTCATCATTTATATTTTCCATTGTTCAAATATTTATTAAATGCCTGTTGAAACTCAGATTAATTTGCTAAGTATAAGGGCTATAATGGTGAGGGGGATAGGTTAATATCCAATTAATGGATCCAGCAATCAAAAAATGTACTGAGTGCTTTGAAGGAAAGGTAAATGGTTCTATGAGATTAGGCCCTTTTTTTTTTCCTTTTTTAATGTTTATCTATTTTGAGAGACAGAGTGCAAGTGGGGGAGGGGCAGAAAGAGGGAGACACGGAATCCAAAGGAGACTCCAGGCTCCAGGCTCCTAGCTGTCCGCA